GCCGTACAAGCTCAAGGACAGAATTCAACTGATCAAGTAATAACAAAATAAATTTGAAGACTTATGAGATGTAAAAGGATATGTATGCATTCCACAGAGATATAATCCTCAGGCATCCATTCAAGTCTGAAGAAATATGGTATTCCTAACCTTCTTCACAGAGAAAAGATTAAGAAAAATGTGTGGAGACATTTTTAAAACTCTTTTCATCTTTTATTACAGTTTATTTCAGCTGGCAAGAGAAATATAATTGGTGATGAGGCAGTATTCATTGTGCTTTTATGATTGCTTTCAAGGAAATGGAAAAATAGTCTATACTAAATGCAGTGACAACTGAAACCAGGACAAAGGCTTGACTTAGGAAAGAAAGACAGTATAATTCTTCTGGAGGGAGGAAAGACAAGGAAATCCTCATGTGCAGAATATGGTATAGGTAAAGCTGAATCAAGCCCTTTAAACTGATAATCCATGATTCAATGGTAGTTCTCAGGGCTGTAAGCACAGTTTAATGTATACTTATAAAATAGATTCACTCAAGACAGCTCAGTACAGGAAATATAAGAGCTCATTAGTGGCCCACTTCACCCCGGGTAGCTTATCGGCTTCATAGCTAATCTGTCAAGGTGAAGCATTATGCTAAAACAAGTGCATCTCTTCCAGTTATGAAGATAGGTCACTCACAGTAAACTGTATTGTTGCAGACAGACGTGTTCCTAGAGCTTACTAGGCAGAAAATATTTACATGTGCAGGGAATAACTTAAAATCTAGAAAATCAGGTGGAAAGCGATTGGATAAAAATATTTAAATACTTTACTCTCCAGTCTGGGTCTTCCGAAAAGATTCATGAAAACGTGGAAGTTACGTACATATGAAACTCCAAAAAACATTGATTACAATTCATAAGGAAAGCCAGCAGAATGTTATTTAAGTTTAGTTTTAAAAGTCATGAATTGGAAGGCCGATTTAAATCAAGGATATTTAGCATTTTTTAAAGTATGAAACTGATTTTCTTCACATTCCCTGTGAGGAATGGGCAGTACTCACAGTTGCTAGTACCTCAGATTTTCCAGGGACCAAAAATGGGAAACAACTGTTTCATATTCGCAAATTAACAGAAAAGAAAGGACACCGTGTGTCTATGAGTTTGTGTGCAAAAATGTAAGAAATGAAACAATGGTTTGTAACAACAGACAGAAATAAATAAGAAATGCTACTAAACCTGAGAAGATTTTTGATTGTACAGATCATAAGAGGAGGCTGTGTACAAAACTCCAAAGAGGTATAGGCGCACTTTACTCCAGTCTTAGTGTTCCTTCTAATCACACACAAACTGTGAATTCAACTGGGATTGTAAATTAAAGAAACGAAAAACAAAGGCAGACACAGAAAATGAAAGATTTTGAAACTGGAATTCAACAAGTTGTCATATGTATCACGCAAAGACATTAGCTGTGTCTAGATCAGAAACAGTTCTGCTATTCTTGCCACAAGAGGAAAAAAAAAACTGCTATACAACTTTTGAGGTCACAGAAAAGTAATAGATTTTTGTCAGGGAGACTGCGTTTATCTATTATTCATCAGTCTATGTAGGACCAAAAAGGGATATTCAAAGGGTAACTATCACAACTATTTTGATTCAACTATCACTATAAACAATATGAGGAAGTGTTCATATATATGGAACAACCACAGCCTGCTATAATTCCTCACCAGTAACAACAGTTAAAGAAAACATTATGTCCTTCAATAAACATGGTCACCCCACTCAGAATGCAACACTTGTAATATCCACATGAATAGACAACTGATCAACTGCTGGGACTACAAGAAGAAAATGAAACAGAAAAGCCTGCTAGCTAACAAACAAAATTTCTCTTCTAGCTTTTGGTTTTAGTGAGTATGTAAAGATTCTAGCTCTTATGCCTGGTTCTCAAACTAGCAGGAAAAAAAAAAACAGTATTCTTTCAGGTGAAGGTAAAAACTAATAAAGATTTACTTTCCTTTTTATCATTTATGCTTTCTATGGTACACTATGAGGTCCTTTCAGCAATTCTCCTTCCACAATTCTTGAACCTTTTATTAAATTTTTTCAGCTTTGCCTAAATTGGACCATTACTACCAATTATTGGGTGAATTCCAAGTACCGAAACAGAGCTGTACTTTCTGTTTTAAATGAATCGAGCTCTTACATGCCAACCCTATGTGGAAGAGATGTTAAAATAATAAAATCACGCCTTGCTCATGAAACATTTCACACAAAAATTTGAGGTGTAAATCTAAAAATAAATGTTCTACAATGAATACTCTGATGAGCTGTAATTACAAAACATTGTATCATAAAAGACATACTAGATACTGCTCCAAACACAGATACACCTTATTATGAAACACATAATTATTATGAAACACTGGTAGTTAAACAATCATTACGGCAAGACTGTTATGAAATAAAGATTGTTATGAAATAAAAATCTTAAGAAGATACTCTAGACAGAACCTATTAATTTGGTGGCGTTCAGTCCAACAGTTTCACAATATCAGGACTGAAAAATACATCATCAACTGTGCAACACTTAACTTATAACTGGTACTGAAAATAAATGTTTAACACTAAGCTGTTAAGTCCTATTCACTACCAGACTTCAGTTAATAGCATCTCCCTTTAAATTACAGAAAAAATTTCCAACTTATGTTTGCCAAAGGCTCTTTTACTTCTGAGCAATATGTGCTCTTCTCTCTTTAGCATTTACCAGGAGATTATCATTTTAGCTTAGAACTGTTTCCCTATGTGAACTATGTGGCATTAGAAAATGCTACCACATATTAAGTCTTTCTGCATTGCGAAAAAAGTCCGTAACTTGTCTTACATAATCCTACATTTTCTATTTCTAAATGTGTGTTATCAATATTTGATTGTACAGGTTAAGAGGTATTGAAATTCTATCTCTAGTTTTGAAGGCTCATAGAAACTTAGATGTAAAAAAAAAGGTATTTTATACAACTCTACAAAAGCAGACTCCTCTACTGAGTATAAAACATATTTTGTAATGCTTTACAGTGAAGATAATGCTTCCAAGTACATCAGGATTTTATATTGCTGGTCCCAAAAACAAATGAGTGAAAAAGTTTAGTAATAATGCTCTACTATATTGCGCTTCTGTTTGGTAATTAACGTTCTAGTTCTGTGAGCGAGATTAGGTGACTGATTATTAGCATAATAAAAAAAGCCTGAAGAAAATATATCTTTCCTACAACATATAACAAGACGCATTTTCAAAACATAAGTAGGAACTGAGCTGTACAACTTCTGCTAACATTAATGGAAGCTGGCTGTCAAAAGCACTGTGCTTCATGCTGAAAATATCCTTTAGTGGTAACAATAGGCTTAAAACATCTGGACATACACGTAAATATTTTACATGAGGAGCTTCACAAAATACTATTTGTGATTTACGCTTGACTATAAATCCTGAACTTTCAAAATTATTTGTGTTATAGGATCACAGAAGTTAGTTTACCATCTGGTTATATAATATACTAAAATCTACTTTTCTGTCAAGAAACTTCCAATATACGTTTCTGGTTCTTTAAAGCAGACTTTTAAAGAAGGCACACAAGTGAAGATATTCATTACAGAATGCACATTTCAGTGTGTTATCTAGATGACTTCAGTATCTCATGTACTTAATGTATAGGTGATCTTCCTGAATTATTCATAAACTGTTTTTTTCTAGAAATGCTGCCTTTCTATTTACTAGAGAAGTGATACAACCTCTCCAAAATGAAGGGGACAGTGGCAAAAAATGTGAGAGAACCCTGATGTTAATTCCAACCGAAAGGGAAAAGAAAAATATGAAGACTCTACTGTGTACCAGAGAATGAAATCATCAAAATTTAGGGCTGAAGTAGGAGAGCATTATCAAGTCAAACATTTCCTTCTAAAAATCATTGCCATACATTAAGAAACGTTTTTTTAGAGGTAAGTTTGGGATAAAAGCCAGCATAGTTTATATTTATTTTATTAAAATAAAAAATTTAAAAATGACTACCAGGAGGAATCTGTAAATGACACTACACTAAAAAGCCTGCAAACTGGTGATTTACTGCTTTGTTTTTTTGTTTGTTTTTTTTTTTTTTTTTTTTTTTTTTTTTTTTTTTTTTTTTTTTTGCTGTCACAGTAAGAGTCAAAGTTATGACATGCAGGATTTTATTTCTGTGAGCATCTGGAGCTGGTACCAATTAATTAAAAATGAAAAGGTAAAATATAATGGAATTTTTTGACAACAGGACAAGTTTACCCACTTGTCTACATTGAAGAAAACAGATAATGAGTGTTTAAGGAGCAACAGAGCCCTATATTTCAAAACCTTTTATAATTTAACAATTGTCTTATTGAGGTCCCTAACCCTGGAAGCTCACCTAAACACGCTTCCAAATATATTCCAATCTAGAACTTTAAATTATGTGATCTGTCTCAGGGATCTCATCTAGCACACAATTAAAAACTAGTTATTCTGCAATTTTACTTCAAAGGCTGATATACTTCAAGTAAATTTTTTGTTTTTTTTTAACATGAAGAGGCCCAATTTGGACATCTAGGATCAACATGGGCAGCTAAGTACTTAGCTTGAGATTAAACACCATAGCATCAAACTAAGTCGTGCTAACAAAATAAAGTGTGTTGGCCCCTTCCTTTCTAAACACAGCATGAATGGGAAAAGACATTTCATAAATTGGCTAATGTCTCTCTATTTGTAAATAAAAAGAGAGAGATAGCTAACATACTCAATACTTAGCGACATAACAAACAAACTGGAGACTTAACATGGCAGTGGAGTAAATTAACAGTGAGAACCCTCATCATTAACTATTCTTCTGTACATCACAATGTTAAAATATAAAAGTATGAAAGTAAGAAATTTTTTGTGACTTTTGACAATTATTAGTAAGAAAAAGATGGTAACAATTGCCAAAAAAATCACAAAAGTCGACATGTTACCTGGCTATGACAAAGAGCACACAACTGACACCCAAGTAAGCCAGCAGAATATACATCCAGATATCAGGGGAGAGAGGATTCAGGAAGGAGAAGACGCCCGGGTTTGTACCATTGGGCTTGCGGTACAAAATACTTATTCCAAGAGTCATAAAGGGCTTGGAAAAGTCGATGACCTTCTCTCGAACATAGGTAATCGCCAATGGTGCAACTGCAAGGTCAGCTTTCTGTTGAGAGAAATACAAAAAGAGAAACAGGCCATAAGTCAGAACCAACAGCCAGAAGCAGTCAATCAGGTTAAACAAAATACAGACTTTATATGGAAGAGGTTTGTACTAGTTAGGCTGAAATTTAAAACTCTCCTCTTCTTCAAATAAAGAGACTGTTCTATTCTAGTTATTTATGCTGAATTAACATAGTAGCATTTAGGGAAACTACAGATGCTATTATAGGCATATAAAAAAAATGAAGCAAAATATTCTGTCCTGCAGAGAACAAGAACATTTGCTATTACATCTTTTAAAACTCATTGTAATTGTATATCTTTCTGTATATCTTTCTGATATCTGTATATCTAATCAATGTATATCTTTACTTTGTCACTCCTTCACTGTGCTCTTTAAAAGTTCATATGTTTATGAAACAAATGTGAATATGCTTTTTCAAGTGTAGACAAATTAAAAGTAGAGAAAATAGCTGTGCTTAATTTAGCATAAAAGTATTGGGAAACAATGAAGAACATTTTAAAATGGGAAGTGTTACACCTGCAAAGTTGTTACAGGGAACAAGTTCTAATAAGATACATCTGTCCTTACTAGTTTGCAGAAACAACCAGAAAATTCATCTGTAGATAATGGAATATTAAGCAAGCGCAGTTTAAACTTCAGGCATACAATAGAATGTGTTTTGATAATTTACATTTAGTTTTAGTTATTTACAGCAATAATTCGTGAGAGATTAATAAATCCTCTACATTTTTTCAAAAAGTAATGGAAATCATAGTGATGAAATCAAACTACAGGATCTACTTTAAATCTCTGTCAACTACTGCTAAAAGACTGTTGTGCATGTGTATGTGTGTATATGTGTGCTCCTGCACATGTGTGTGTGTGTGTGAGTGTGAAAGAGGAAAGTTCAGAGTGGGAGAATATACAGTATACAACTCAGCACACTGCAAATGAAGCTTCTTCAGTAAACTACTTGCAAATATAGGTATGTAATAAGAGAAATGGTACAGCTACTGTGAAATAATAAGTTATTCAAATAGCATACCTGCAAATGACATCATTTTTAAAAATGACAGTCCTAAACCAAGATCCACAGATTTTGTTCCTAGTAATATGATATTAATTCATAAATTTATATATTTTGTTTAGTTGGTATGGGAAATACTATCTAATGCTCAAAATCTCAAATAGAATTATAGCATTTCAATGTTCCTTTGTTTTTGTTGCCTAACATTCCATGAAGCTCTACTATACTTCATTGTTGTTATGTGCATTTATGATATTGTTGTCCCCTCTGGAAGTACACTTTTGTTACTATGCAAAACTCTATTGATGTTATATATTTAATTTTTGAAGGGCTCAATGGTCAAAAACATGATGCACGCCTCATTTCCACTGATACTCAGAACTTACAGGTATTAATCAGAGTAGCAAGACTTTATTTCACAGGTGAGTTTTTATGGATTGCGTATGACTGATGATATTCCATGTGATACAGAAAGAAAACAGTAGAATAAGAGAGTAAAATTAAAATTTCATTAAGATTTACAGAGCAACATATACAAGTTTGAGAAACATAACATCTCAGAATGTTGGTTTGAGAGGCAGGTAACAGTCCATACCATTACAGTTTGAAGAGATCTTACTGTAAACTCCCAGAAGATACAGCTGCCCAAAGACAGAGAAAATAGATCTTTTGGAAGACTACTGGCAGTTGTGACGTGCCTTGTCTTAAAACATGACCCTTAATTAATCCAACCTTTGATCATTAGTTGAAAACAGAGCAGTACATAAGTTAGTAGAAGTTATAGCTATCCTTAGCAGAGCAAAGTTCTAGGGAAGCTGCTGATGCAATTAGAAAAATAACACAAGACATACATAATGCATGTTTCATATAGCAGAACAGGACAAGCTGGGAGGGACTGATCCAAGATATAGGTCCCTATACTGCTGTCTCAAGATTTTCACCAGAGAAAACTATTCATTTCCATTTGACTATTTCATTTCCATTTTTCACTCAAAATTCAGAATGATTAACTTATGATTGCATGATGAGGAAAAACTGTCCCTCAGGTTACATGACTGAATATTGACCTTTTGAGATTATAATATTCTTCTTTTCTTTTAAAATGTCTGATCACCCTGTTGTCATTTCACATACTCTGTATTTTTTTGTCTGAGCACCTCCAAAATCCATGCAAAAGGTACAAATTAAAGGGCCACATTGCTTTTGCCTGGCACTAATGTATACCATATGGGATGAAAACAATATTTGTATAAATGAGCTTCTAGTTAAATTGTAACTCCTGAAATTAATATTATAAATATTACTTTCAGTAGCAGTTTAAGAAACTACAACACAATTACAACATATGACTAGATCATTCCATAGAATGACAAAATAATTTGCATTGGAAAGGACCTCTGGAGGTCACCTAATCCAACCTCCTGTTCAAACAAGATCAACCTTAATGTTCAACAAATGAACACAATTTTCTGACACTGTGTAAAACAACGTGTAAAAATGGTTCCCTGGAACTTACATTTTTCACAATGCAACTAACGTAAATAAAAAGTACCGTATGAAGATGATACATCTTTGTGTTGGAAAAAAAAAAAGACATAGAAATCTTTTCTTTTTATTGAAAGAATTTTTTCTTTTGTGAGTACCTACATGACTATGGTATCCACGAAGAGGAATCATAATTTGAGATAAAATACAAATCGAAAAATAAAAATTAGAAAAAAATGCATTCATCGTTATACTACTTCACTCTCAGCAACAGAATTGTGTCAGGCTGAATTTTAACTATTTCTTTCATCCACTATCAAAATATACACATGAAATCTAAGTGTAAGAATGATCTGTAAATTTAAGATAAAAAATTTCCATTATGGCAGGCATCCTTATGTCAATTTCACTATTGTGCTGAACTTACCACTCCATCTTCTAAAACCAAACAGAGGATAAATGTGTTAACAAACAGACTGATTTTGTAAACCATGCATGATGATTCCTGCCTAATATTAGCATTTTTCAGATATAATCTGCTAGTGAGCGCAGCTGGGACACCTGTTCCTCGTCCAGTTCTGGGCTCCTCAGTACAAGAGAGACATGGAGCTACTGCAGCAAGTCCAGCAGAGCGCTATGAAGACGATGAAGGGACTGGAGCATCTCTCCTGTGAAGAAAGGCTGGTAGAGCTGGGCCTGTTCAGCCTGGAGAAGGAAAAACTCAGGGGGGAATCTCATCCATGTGTAGAAATATCTGAAGGAAAGGTGTCAAGAGGATGGGGCCAGACTCTTCTCAGTGGTGCCCAGCAACAGGATGAGAGGCAGTGGAAACAAACTGCAACACAGGCAGTTCCGTCTGAACATGAGGAAAAACTTTCTGTGACTGAGGGTGACTGAGCACTGGAACAGGTTGCCCAGAGAGGTTGTGGAGTCTCCTTCCCTGGAAATATTCAAAAGCCATCTGAACAGGGTCCTGGGTAATGTGCTCTAGGTGAATCTGCAGGACCAGAGGGGTTGGACCAGATGATCTCCATAGGTCCCTTCCAACCTCAACCATTCTGTGATTCTGTGATTCCTAACTCAAGGCACAGTCTGAACCAGGGTAAACATTAGGCAAAAATACAGAACAGCAAAGACAACAAAAATCACTGGATTATATTAAGAGGTGGAGCTGCAAATCTTCAGCATTGGATCTTTGACAGCATTTATCTGGCATAATATAATTACAGCTGACCTACAAGTGGAAAAGGGGAGTGGACTACTTGATCTACTGTGGTCCTTCGCTCAGTATGCTAGGTTATTTTATGATTTCACTAAAGCTATCAACAAAGCACCTGCCACACACAGTCAAGAAGCAAAACACAGCTGTACTTCTGCAGCTGTACTTTTCCACCCTAAATTTGATGCAAAATACGAAATTTTCAAAATAGTTAGAGTGCATAAGTGTGTCTATTAAACTAAATCTCTCCACAGAAGACCTCAAATATATAGAGAAGATTCTTCATTACCTAGTAACATCTAAAAGTACAGTAACTCCAAAATTATGTCAAGTTCCTCTTCTGGAAGGTCAGTAATTTTTTTCAGTTTGTAAGTTCATGGTGAAAGATTTATACTGACAATGAAAGACTGGAGGGCCAAACTCTAATAGTGGGGGGAAAATTATCTTTCATGGCTATCAACTCCTGGAAATAGTAACAGTACCTACCCTGATAGGGTCTTAACCATGGCTGCAGTCACTGGCTTATTACTGTAATGCTCTAGTCACTACATTTCATATGCTATTATAAAGATTATTTAGATGCTCAACAAATGTAAAGAAAAATACAAAATATCGCAGACACAAACTGATCACAGTGACTTCCACTATCATCTTAGTGGTGAAATGTGATGGTAGTTTATTTGTATATAATAACACTAAATAGTAATTGATATAATCTGAAGAGAGATTCCACATCCAAATATCTCTGAAATGAGGTTGCAGGCAGGAACCTGCAATTAATTGCTATTATATATTTGGTCAGGAAATGGTTCTACTATATTCTGTGCTTGACAAAAATCTAATCAAACTGCTAAGAATTATACAGATAATTCATAAATAGTGGAAAGGATCTTTGTTTTATGTTTCATCCAAAAGAATGAAGTTCCAGTAGCACAGGAATACCCGTGAGCGTATCCTACCAATATGGTTTAGATGTTGCTTAAGAAAGTAGGTAGTACAATGGGTCTAGGTTCAAAAGCTAACTCAGATCAGAAATGAAAACAAATATTGACTCAGACTGCCATTTCATCCTATACAAAACCACTATATCATTTACTATAATTACTGCAACAGTTTCATTTCAAGAAAGGCATCATAACTGAGGCAATGAGGGAAGGAGAAAAAGGAGCTACCAAACAAAAATGAAGTGCATAGGCCAAATGATGAGTGAAAATTTGAGCTAAGGCTGGTCCCGATGGCTGTACAAATCTGCTTTCTGAAGAACAGGAT